ATAATATATAAAGGGAATGAACTGCCGGATCGAGGAAACGTAGGAATCGGAACCTACCTCTGAAAATGTCCTAGCAAGCGGTTTTCTCACTTGTCGGAAAAGTTTCACATCGAATTCTGATCTCGGTAAAGACTGAAAATGTATGTCAGGATTACAGAAAAAGTCTGGATCTCCATTTTTCTGTTTAGTAGAAATTGGCGAAGGCTGGGGTTGAAATGGCGATACTCCAATTGCTGAGTGAATCGAAGATGACACAGACGAGTGACTACGACGAACCATTGACGCGCTCCTTATCGAGCGATCATACCCGAATATGGAAATATAGCAAGGAAATAGCACGTAAGAAGCATGCAATTATCAGCACTGTCGTTCTCAGACAGGATGGTTTGTTATGACAACGGAAACCCTGAGATAAGCTGATCGATTCCACGTTTTGTTTCTGCAGGAACTGCCAACGCCGTCTATTTTCAATCTAGAGAAGCAACGCAAGCTTCAGAGCGACTCTTCAGTAATGTTCAGATAGGTAAACTAGAGTTACCTTTAAGGCAAACAATCTAATAGTACTAGAAATACACACACACACACACACACACTTTATCAATATACAAATTGGATTGGCTTTTAGCCGCTTGCCGACACACTGACTCGTTATTGCAAATAGACGTGCGGGTATAAGCAAACACCATCAAAAATAAGTAAAAAATAAACAGAAGTTTAAGCAGTCTACACATTCACATGAGTGGATGTGTTTCTTACATAGTCGTTCTATGTAAATCTGTAGTACTCAATATAGATCATATTCAAAATGTTATTGGATTAGATATGGAGCTATCAGACGTTGCCACATTTCATAGACTGATAAAATTGACAGAATATTGTGATTTTTTCAAAGCAACGAACGAGTTTTAAGACTCATTTTATTAGAGGGCGAGAAAAAAAACTCAGGGCGTATCAAGGTTGTTGTAGTCAACAACAGTGAGAGCGTCAGTAAACGCCACCCACCTGGACAAGCCGACCGGAGAGCCAAGAAAAGTGGGCTCGGAATCGGCAAACATTGTTCGCAGTGGTGTTATTCGTGGGGCAGAAGATACCGACCAACCTCGGTGCGACTGGGTTATCATTCCATTATGGGTCAACGGCTCCTTAGCAACCATCACAGGGGAAATTGACGAAGGCATCTAACGAATGTATCGCATTATTAACAATAGGCAATTTTCAGTTTAATTCACCTCGACCGACCTACGCATGCGGATAGCACGTATGCACGATTCGACTGATCGCGACAAAATTTCTTCAGCGTTGATTGACTGAAACGTTTACGGGTCATAATAAACATCAATTGATTATTATTTTTATAAATCTTACTGAGTCTTCGCTTACAATGTTCATGTCTTCTAGACGTTTCATGACAGACTTCTCCTGTCGCCACTGCGTATACAGCGACTGAATGCAAATGATACAGAGAGCATTAATGGCTAGCCGTGTGCAGTAGAACGAAAGCTCGGCAACGCCGCGCGAATTCAAATTCTGTAATTATAAGATAATGAACACTGTTAGAATATAGACGGAACAACGGCTTTTGTACCACAAGTTTCGCGAAAGTTAGTGAATTTTCCAACCGTATTAGTTCGACTAATCGTGTTTAAGAGCCATGAATAGAGAAAAAAAAAATTTGAAAAAACGCCTCTGTAGAAAAGAGGACTGAACCATCATTTTGTCATGATTAGTTGGCCGTTTATACAAGGTAACAATGGAACATATGGACCAGGTACAGAATATTGGTAAACGTGTAGATAGAAGGTACGAGTTGTTCTTGTGCTACTTTTTGCTTTCGGCCCATAGAAGCACAGTGTTAACATAACGAAACGATGGCTAAAAACTCACTTGAAAACAACATATTTTGTCATACAGAACGTATATAGTATACGGGCCCAACATATATATATATATTCGGCGACTCTGATAAGGATGTAATAATACTATATGACTTAGGAGAAATGACTACGAGAGATGCAGAAAACCTAAGTAGGAGATAAAACACCCGCAACGATCAACCTATTAAATACACTTTGGACAGCTTAAGATATGGTATCCGTGTCCGTGTTAACTGCGGGCCAAAATCTGCAGCGGGATGGTGTAGTCAGCACGCTCGGGATCTTGTCGTGCCAGACAATTTTGCAAATTAGATAGTACCTCATAATTATTATTATCATTGGAATATAGCGCGTTCACAAATATTTACCCGTAACCCGACAGAAACGTCGATCTCAGATTCCCAGGAACTCCTTCGCTAGAAGCTACACCCGGAACAAAACGGACACAGGGTTTTTTATTGGTACAGACTTACGAATTGCCTGCCCATTCATTTACAAGCGCTACACCACTGGCATAAGCAATGATCAACATCTAATTTCCTTCCTCTCGGAGCCACTGAATCGCGCATTAGGTAATCTTCTATTCTGAACTAAGTTTCCTGAACTGTCCGAACATGTCGCTTCTGCTCGAATTGTTTTTATCCTTAAGTTGAATCACCGCGGTTTCGACGTCCACTCTGCTCATCGAGTCGCGATACAACGATTCTATCAAGTGTCTATTGTACGGAGCGATGTTATCCCAAGTTCGGTTCTTGGGTCCATCTGCCCGCAGTTGTCTTACAGCTGCAGCCGCATCGATGTTTCCACTTGACCACCTTCGGTGGCCGTTTGGCCAGGATCGATAGCCCTTTGAGACGTAATAATAGTAAACAACGCGTACGATGAATGGTTCGTCGTAATAGCGGGTGGCTGATCCGTGTTGCTCTTAGCGCTCAGACAGGTCAGATAGTGCAATGACAACCGCGTTGGGAACAATCAATTCTAACAACTACTACCACTACAACTGTTGCAGAGGTGAGAGCTTTGTTCTATGCATTTCCCAATCGTTCGGCCCATTCATCTAGTTTCCGAATGCACCATTTTGTATTGATCTGGCGTAATGAAAGCATAGGTACGAGGCAACACCATTATTTGATGCGGACTTCGACAATAAGTCCAGCAGTGGACACGGCTCTGCGGAGTGACGCTAGTAAGGGAACATTTTGCGAGCAGTACCAAGCGGTATGAGCTAGAATACCACAGACCGATACTGCAGTGATAGCGATAAGAGCGGATCTATAGCCTGATTGTCAATACATTTACGCCAGTGGCATCGCTTTGCTTGAGTGTTTCTTTATGTGTTTGTCTTTCGTTTCCTTCTCACAATAGACGGCCATATAAGTGGTCCACGTTACAAGTACTTCCCCATAGCAAGGGTCTAAGTAAGATGCTGGTGCGTCGGCCATCGGCGGCAAAACCTTGTCGTCAGCTTCGACTTTGGCATGGCCGTCTCGCTTGGGTAAATTTCCTTGTCCGTCCACCGGGGTACAGATAGTGGCGTGCGGATGCGTGCTCCCACCTACCAGGTGGCGCGCTGCTCCTCGAGCGCTAAGCACGTTACGGCAGGGCGAGAGATGATACGTACTACTGTGATAATCTGAGATCGTTGCCACCGTCACCGCAACGGTGTCGGCATTATCATAATCGCCAAATACAAGCAGTTCTCAGTCGGATGAACGGAACCCGCCGACTGAGAGGATGCTAATAGCGTGCAGTGGTCGTGCGTCAGTTGTCGCATAGATGAAATCCCTATTTTCCATTCAGTGGAGATGCTGCGCTAAGTTGTTGCTTTTGTATGCAAACGAATAGGTGGGGGGTCTACAGGATTACGCGGGAGGCTGCGGGAGTCTCAGAGCACTGATTCAAAACTCCGGTAGACCAGTATCGCGAATCCCGCCGCCGTGTACACCTCATTTCGAGTTGTGACCCAGCCAACGAAAACAAGAAGAACGATGCTAACAGCTAATATGCTCCAAAATGAGTCGCGCTTTCGGAATCGCTGCCAGCTTTGACGAGGAAACAACTGGACAGCATTTGTAATTGTGAATGGACGATCACTCCGGTGCTAATGGTGGCAACGACGATAGTGAAATAGCGACCAGTGACCATGGTAATATTGGCAGGGTCTATGACCCACATTGCGGCCGAACGCCAACAATACCTAATAACAATAATAGTAATAAATATTCACGAAGAAGTCTATGCAACAGCTTTTTCCGCTAATCGGATGACAATTCATTGTATTTCTTGCATAGAAAAGATCATACAGCGAAACTCACATAGACGTTCATGCTGTGGGTGTCGTCGAGCCCCGTATTTTACAAATTCCAGTTGTTTTTGGTCAGTCGTAGTGCTTATAAACGGGACGCGAAGAATCACTTTACTGAGTGATATCTTAAATAGATTCAGTCAACGAGTGCCATCTGCGTTTGACGTAGCAGGCAATAGTTTTATTGACAACATCGTAACGATTTGTTGTTGATGTTGTCACCTTTACCCTACGAATTCCCTCGTGTTGATACGAAATAGAATGGCCGCTATAACGATATAGCTTTGAGTCTAACAAGGTATAGGGTAATCTGCTAGCATTTCCATAGGGATGATATGCGTATATATATTAGATATTGGTAGTTTATCTGTCTGGCCTTGAACAAAATCCGTTATTTCGTTGGCTACGGCGTGCGACATCGTTCGCTATGGCGATGAAAGTTGTTGAGCATAGACGGATAACATCATTATTGAGAGTGCTTACTTTCTGTTCAAAAGTTAACAAAACAATGACTGAAATGGGCCCTACAAGTGACGAGCGATATCTCGCTTGAGGAAGCTGCGTTGAGCAGTTAAAAACATGCTTGATCATGGTAGAGTCGTATTAGTTTATCCTCTTTTTTTTTTTTTTTTTTAGTCATTAGGTCTATCAACGTAATAGCTTCGACTACGCAATGACACCTAATCCATTGTCCATTGTTATTATTATTATTATTATATTAAAATACAGGATATATCAAAATACAGGATAGCGCGTATCTTCAATTTTCGAGCATTTTTGGTGCTACTTCAGTCGGTCACATGTTTTGTTCAAAAGCTCGTATTTCCAGTGAACTTATTTTGCTTACTAGCTAACTTAAGCCCAGTCGTCGAAACAGCCGACCCAGTTCAATAATGATCAGCAATAACTCATTAAGGACCACACTCGTTTACGATAATGAACCAGCATCGATTGTCTTGCTCAACTTAAGGGGCCGAAGCTATGAATGGCACCGTCGCAAAGTGACACTGCCGGTACCTTCATAAATCTCCCCCGGTAAGGAATATATACACATGCAAAGACAGACCCACGAATATGCTTGGCAAAGGCTACAGTAAGTATCGGCTCCCACATCGTTTGCAAAAAGCCTCTGTTGATGACCGCTGGATAGTAGCAATGCGGGGCTTCTTGTCGACGGTGGCGTTTCTTCTTCACGTCTCTGGGCTTTGATGCTGTGCTGTTAGAAACATGTTCGCGTTTGACCAAACATTTTAAAGGACAAGCGCTCATCGCAGGATATTGATTAAAATTGTACGATCGTTATTTTTGACTTCATTCTATCAGAGGCATTTCTTGGGCGGGCCAATTTTTCTGTGAATGGCAGGGGCTGGCCTGTTTACGGGTAACTATCATTTCAAAATCGGGCAGTGAACAGCGATAATCCTTATGAACCAATCTATCCGCCAAAGGGATAATCTATGATAATTATCCGGAGGTTTTGCAACTAAGGCGTCTTGGGCAGTTGTTTTTCTTCACGAGATCGGTCGCTGGCGGTTTTTGTTATACGATTATACAGGTTTCGAGCAAAGCTGTTAGGCCGACTGTTTAATTAACGAGATTGCGCTTGATAAAATATCTCAACTCCCACCTGTGTGTGTCTCTGTGGTGATGAAAATCGCGTAGTTCGAGATAAGAGACTGGCGATATCAGTTCGAAGTGAGGGTAATCACAGCTGAACTGAACAGTCAGCAACGTGGACGTTTGTGAGAGAAGACTTTTTGCTTTTGGATCAGTAACGTTACCCAAAGTAAAAGGGAATTTTTAAAAGAAAAAAACAATTATATCAACGATTTTACTCGTTCGGAGTTGAATACCTCTTCTTTTCTACACAACTGGGAAAAAGCACTGGTTAGTTATTTCTGTAATGAAGGTTTGCTTATCAGGAATAGATATATGACGACTTTTGAAAGAATCGCTATAATAATTTGCCTTCTACCAGAAATTTTCCTTTCCTATCCATCAACCGGTACCGTTCTGGATACGTCCCCTACTCATCGTCCTAAAGATCTCGAATCTTATCAGCCCTTTGAGAACCGTCGATCATCGGTTGCTTACAAAGCGCACCAACTATTCCAGATCTGTTCCGCCTCTTCAATGTATTGCGTTTCTATTCAAGCTCTATGTCATTTCAATAATTCGACGGCTTGAGGTGCATTGCCAGCGCCGCTACGGAGCCCCAGCCTTTCGACCTATACAGAGGCGGATTTCTCTGTTTACGTCTGTCCGCATTTCTTGAGCGTTGATATAGTTGGGGTGTTCAGCCCAGGCGCGTCTCGGTAGATATGTTTGCTCAGCAACCGTCTTCCTCGCCAGTGATTATCTTCACAACAACAGCCATCGGCGAGGTTGGCGTTAGCGTTGGTCGATTATTCAATCGTTATCGGCTGCTGGAACCACTTTCAGCTATTACTTCGACGTAACCTCGAACAACGATCGATTATCGTATACTGAACTGCTGGGACATTCTTTGTTCAGTTGGGTGAAGGGTTAAATGATGATTGTCGCGCAGTAACTGACAAATTCGAAGCGGGTACTCTCATCGAATGATGCTGCCAAGATAGACGCGTTGTTAAGGAGACAGCAGCAGCAGCAGCAGAAATCTGATTTGTGTGATAGAATCATATCGTCGTTAACAACAGCGTCGGGGCGGGCAATATCTGCTTCGGCGGTGGAGCGCAAGGGGGTTGCACTTACAGCAACTAGAACGGAAGGCGGCCTATGTTCTTAGTGGATGGATTTTCTTTGGCTTCAAATGGAAAAATAACTATGTAACAATATAACTGTATGGCTTAGGTACTTCGGACAAATCTCAAGGCGAACCGAGACGCAGTAGCAGAGTAACAGGAAAGTAGAACGTGGTCTCCATTGCCTTCAGTTGTCATATATACATGTATACGTATGACGGTACGGTAAAAGTAATCGGGCGCAGGTGAATTCAGTGTTAGAAGTACTATCTAATAGTTTAATTGTAGTGGCCTTGGACTTGTATCAGGCAGTCAAGCTGATTTGTCCGATCATCACAATTACTAATTGATAGCCGCTATTATGTATGGGTCCAAGGAGGCCAGACTGTGTTAAACCGTTAACTTGATAATCATCAATCTGTGTAAGTGACCGAAGCGTTTATTTTGCTAGTGTAAAGTCGAAGAAACACATTTGAAACGTTCTACGTCTTTATTTTAAAACCTTATTATTTGTCATGATGACAAGGATAATATTAATAACAATAAATCAGACTGCATGATTTTTAAGTATCCTTAAAAAAAAAATATATATATATATATATATACATATATATATACATATCCAAAGCGATAAGCTTCGTACTCAAGCCTCTTGGGGGCTGCAGTATCTGAGGAGTGCGTCGTCGGTCAGACCACTTTATGCGAAACCCAAACTTGCCCAATCATAAAAATTTGCGCACTCTTTTTTCTATCAATCAACTTCCTCTACCATTTCTAGAAATACAATAGGTTGTACCTATTGAGTAGTACGAAAGCTGATATCTGTAGGACAGGCTCGACCGGAACCTTCTATAACCGCTTCCAACTCAATTCCAATCAAGAGTTGTAATGAAAACAATATAATAACTAATATTTATCCGTTTACTTCTTAGTGCCCCTTCAGCGGCAGATTGCGATAGTTCGCAGTGGTTAAGAAATCGTTCTTTAGTAGAATCGCTAATTAGTAGATCTACTTTATATAATTTTATAGCGATTATTCTACGAAACCTACAGATTTGCAGTGACAACGCGCTTACCCAGTATTTGAGGCTCATGAACAGACTGAGGCCGCACTCCGGAAAGAAGAAAATGACAAGGACAAACAACCAGGCCAGGAGGTACGTTGACTTGCGCTGAATTCGGGGTTGCCGATTCGTGATGGTAAACGAGCGACGTAGCGTATGCAGACCAAAAACAATATGTTAGTGTTATAAAATAAAGTGGGAAAATAAATAGCGGTCTTAAGCATGGCGAGGCAATAAAAAAAAATCATGTTATTTTCAATGTTTGTACTTCAACGACGGTAACTAGCGTTTGCGTTTCGAAAAATCGAACAAAAGTGGTCAATTATACGATCCCTGTATGATCTAATGTGTGTGTCACATTGTGTCGTCGTATTTTATTTGCTTCAGGTAATTGATTGACACGAAATAACTTGTATGTTGATTATTTATAGTAAGTTTGTGTTCATAAGGAAGGCTACGTTTACTCAAACTTGACCAATGGTGCAACTTTCTATGTGGATTAAACGATAATAGTGTTCAGCTTTCTAAACGCTGCTATTTCAATGCCTGATCGGTGATCGTTTTCAGACCAGAAACAATCCGGAGAGTAGAAAAAGTGAAACGAGAAACGTGATGAAGTAGATCGACGCCAGGAGATACGCGGGGGCCGGTAGCAGAACTGTGAAAAACGCATATAGACCACATTATTATAGACGTAGTGATCCTACGCATAGCAGAATATTTACGTTATGTAGTAGTATATAATATTACGTTGTGAGGAAAAGTTGCGTCTAGTGCTACGCAAGCTTTACTGTGTGTGTCTGTGTGTGTGTGTGAAGATGATTGTTTTTACTTTGAAGTAGCGATGAACGTACTTGAGCTTCGAATAAGAAACGAAGGATAACAACTGATAATTCATGAAAAAGAACTTTTTTTCAAGAACAGCTTTTCTCTCAAGTTCAAGCGCTTTACTTGGTTCTCATATGATTATTCTAGGTCTAAACTACTTCAAGTAATAGGGGTAGATACGTGATTCATCTTATTCGTAAATGTCGATCATCGTTGTTGTTGTTGGTCACGAAACGGGAACGTCTTCACTACCGTGACATCATCATGACATAGACGATATTTATGACTTGTCAAATCGTGCACGCTTTTACAGGACGTTGGAGAAGATAATTACAGTTCTATCCACCGGAGAGTAAAAAATGTATGTTAACCATTGTGTAATGCGGTTCTGTATTGGATTAAGGAAAGCGGCCCTATGAACGTGACCTATTTATTATCAGATCGCTGTTCTACGTCACATCTAAACTGGTTGAAGACCACTTATACGGTAACAAATACGTCGAACAAATGACGACAAAGATTCTGGTCGTTCCTTTATCCATACAGTGTCTTTAAATTACAGATTTGGCTTGTTTTTTTTTCCTCTTCTATAATAAAAAAGTGTTGTCCACTAACCCATTCAATGGCAACAGGTTGAGTCTTACACAGACAACGATCCTTCGAAGTGCGTTTATCGTTATCATTGTCATTATCTGTAGCTATTTCCAATTCTAGTTGACAGCTGATTACAAAAGCAGTTACTAGTTAATTAAGTAACAGTTTTAGGTAGGACACTTCGAAGGGGCTTTAGAAGGGGATCGTAGGAAATGGCAAAGCGAATGAGACAAAGTGAGAGATGTTTTGCAAAATGTTATTTTATGTTTATCTTTTTTACTTAATCTTTTTCCCTTGACGTGATTGTTTGTTTCTTACCTCCATGTTGTTGGTACCAGTTATGAATCTCGGGTACTTGGGCCACTGAAATGCATATCACACATGCATGCTATCTACTGCCAATACAGAGCTATAGACCAGTGTTTTTCCATAACTGCGAAAATAGGTCGTTCAAATACAACTGATCGACAACGCACAGAAGATTTAGAAGACTTATCAGCGCCTTTTGAACGAGTTTTCTTTCTGTTGCGGCAAGACCAGTGTTTCTAAATATAATACTTTTACGTATAATCCTCGTATATAATATCTTCTTAAAGCTTGTCATCTATACGTATATAAATAAGCCTAGTATTGCAATGTATATGTTAACTAGACGGGATTGCAATAGCAATTTCCACTTGAAGACACGTCGTTGTTTTCAACAGCTGAGAAAAAAAACGGAAAGATTTTTTCCTACCGTTTTCTTCCTTTGCAAAGAAAAAGGCCATAGATAGCGCACTTACTATCTGCTTCAACCAGCCACCACAGCTCCATGACGAACGCACTGAAGTACACCACCTGAATTTTAATTAAAAAAAAAACAAGGAATCAAAGTAAGAAATTCTGCCTAAGTCAACATGTATACTGATTTTTTACTCGACTAAAACTGTCACACTCTATATATATGTATATATATATAGTTATCGTATATATAAAAATTCTATTTTCATTAGCAGGATATTAATGCCTTGCTAACGCATTCAAGTGGCTCGTAGCATTTCGTTAGATAGAATATTTCGTAATTATTTAGCTATTTAATGGCTTTTTTCATAACCTCAACTGCTTGTATGTATCTATGGATGGGCTCGAACGCAGCCACAGGCATCACTGTTGTCCAATTTAATATTCGTGTACATCCTAACCTCAACAAGCATACATCATGATTGAAGCAGACATCGCGTCTGAGTTCTATGCTTTACTCATCAGTACATGGTATTGAATACAAATATGGCTCAGGTCGAGGGCGTGGCGGGGCCTGATCGTTACAGACAGATCCGTAAGTCATTACCGCTTCTGGTGATTTCTGATCTGCCAAAACGTTAACCTACAATTCAGCAAATACTTCCTATAGGAATATGATGATTAATAAAATATTGTACAGATCATACTAGCCTAATCTAACAACCAATAAGATGCAAAGTAGGAATAGCAGACAGGCAACGTAGCGCGTAAATGCTTGCTGAAGACACTGGAAGCTTACACATTCTTCGATAGTAACGAACTCCTTTTTCTTTTTGACGCACACTCGACAAACCTACCGATTATGTTAGCCTATCATTGCATATTAGCCGTAAAAACCTGTATTTCGTATCCGGTGCCAAATCGTACCTGTTTCAAAAAGTTTGCTTTACGTGCTCTTACCTCTAAAGATCCGTATCTTTACAATTTGCTTTCAGCAACCCATTGTCAGCTTCTCGTTGGACACCGGACCATTTGTTGATTCGAAAAAGTCATCTATCGGACTATCAGGTACTGCGGAACTTCGAAAATCGGTTCGATCGGTTAAAACTACAGATCCCAACAGATGAATATTTGTTGACCCAAATGTTTATTCACCAAGGTGACCAAAGCGAAAGCCTTGAGCGGAAGTGTTTTATGATGTTGAAGCCATCAAATATTGAAACATCATTCGACACTGTTATTTCCGCAGTTTTTCCTAGGAGTGAAGACGAGCGAGGTTTCGGGCGAGAACCGGCCCAAACGACTACAACCATCCCTTGCCATCTGATTGTTACTGGCGAAATCTCGTTAATTGACGTTAAAACTTCACAACTCCAACTTGTTATACTACACTGAATGTATAATCCGTTATTTCTCTTACGATTTCGGCAGTGCTCACCGTCTGTGTCACCTTCTTTCATTAATAATCTCTCTTCAAACAAGTATTCCTGTGCGATTTCCGTTTAATAATCTGTTATTTGTTCTAAACAACTTGGAAAATGTCTCTCCTCAGCGTTTCCTGAGTTGATGTTTAAACCGACAGTCTTTAATAGTCAAATGTTTAATATTTTTGTGTTTTAGGCCCGGTATTTTAACCGTTAGACATTACTTCAGACCACCACGTGACCTGAACTTCAACAGGCAAACACGTGGTCCCGTGCGCTACCACTTGACAGTAACTGTATATATGAGTAAGTGAAATTTCAGGCATCTGCACGCGCGCTGTCACTCTATGGCGCCTGTATCCCACCTATTCGGCCCTCCTATCTGTTTCAACGGCAAAGGTATCCCAAACAGCAGCATTGCATGATTAATGTCTGTAAACTATTTTTCAAGGAACACATGGCAATCTAGGTTGGGAAGAGGACATAGCCATACTTTGTTTGTGCTAGCGGTTCCAAGCAGCGCTTAACGCTAGTACCTAACGTAAGATTTGAAACATTTATTTTCAGAATACTTTCTCTTTTGTCTCTAATATGAAAATTAGTATTCTCGAAGATGAGTCCTTCATAGAATTTTCTACGGGTGCAGGTCTACCTGTCAGAAATGAGCACAGTTGTTAGGACCTGCCCTTTGATACGAATTTCGCTACCGCCTTACTCGTAAGCAGGCCATTAACAAGACACTCTTACTCTAATTCAAATACGCCGAAAAGAATCGTTGCCATATAAAGCATCTGGCGTCGATGTCTCGCCGTTCGAAATTTTATGGTCGATGACCAAAAGCTTCTCTTACTACGTATTCCATGTTATTGAGTAGTCTATGGTAATGGCGTTGAAGCTGGACCACCGTGGTATGCCATTGCGTTCTGTGGGGTAATCAGTTACTATAGATATAGCATGAAATAAAATGGAGGCCGTTCAACGGATATATATCATATATATATATATATATATATATATATATATATATATAAAATTGTTAAATCGTACTAAGCAAACATTGACAACAAATACCAATCAAATTCTAAATCATAGACTATGCTACATTTTAGCCGTTCTATATTCCAAACCATTACGGCTTTCCAGTGTTACCGTTGATCGTAGACATTTTCATTGAACAACTGCGAACAACATTTGCGGAGTAAACACCGCATCTCTATAACACTATAAGATTAATGAGAAACAACATTTTATCGCAAATAAGTGGCTTTGGCTGCCTCTGATACCTTCAAAATGGTTCTTTAGGATATAGAACATGTCTATATAAAGAAAATGCGGTTCAGTCAAAGAACACATTTAAAAATCCTCGCTGAAGAGGGTTTATTGATATTCCGTAAGCTCTTCAATATACTCATCTTCATGCCTTACGCGATTTAATATTGGCGACAAAGGCCGAGCGGACGAAACTTCATAAAAATAGTTCAAAAAATTATAGATTCGTGTATTTACATGTATAATATCAGCTTTCTCATGATGACAATGATTTAAATTCGAGCGCCTTAAATTATAGTGAATTGCACCAAGCAGAATGACGCTATAACATTAATGAAAAAAAAATACACTTGATAGCACGTAACTTTGCAATAACCTAACTTTACGTACTCTAAATTTAAAAAAAAAAAAGCAATTTTTTAAGAAATACTTTCTTTAGTACCTAAGTAATTCGGCCTTATTACTAGAAAATTACTGTAACTTATTTCAGAGTTGGACCTTGAACAGAACTGAGCCTTTAGGGCAACCGTTACTTCATTTCGAAGTTGATATTACGTACGGTTAAGATGACGTCAAAGTAGTTTTAAAACAAGCCTAGGTAGCTACACTCTGTATCGCGCTAAGGCCCAGCCGTCTCATATCATGAAAAGGATAAGGCACCTGCGTGCCATAATTTTATCTGACATATTAGATGACTAAAAATAGTTTTTAAAAAAAGGTCTAAAAAGATTTTACTTCATTTGATAATTTCAAAACGTCAAGCTTAAAGCTTCACGTGGACCGATGTCCCGCCGCGGGACCCGAGCCAGAACCCTTCAGCATTGCGACCGCTTAATAACTAGAACAATGATCAACGTCGATACACTCAGTAATCAAATTGTTGCTTTTACCAATTATTAATGCCATTACTGCAATGTTTATTATTACAGCCATTCTTAGTCAACTAAGATTATCCTACTCTAATAGACTAACCGGTGTCGCTATGTAGGCCAGTATAAAAGGGTTCTGCGTGTACATTTCTCCAATTTTATCGACGTATTCGCTTTTGAAGAAAGCTAATCGAACTTGGCGATCCTTCCACCAGGCTTTAATTGCCGGCCTAAGTCCTGCTGCTCGCAAAGCATCGCGGTATACAGAAAGATGCATCGTGAACGATCTTACGTGTGACTTCTTCTTCTGCTTATGCGATTCACAGATCTTAGCTCTTTCAACCGCTTCCAAATCTTTTTCAACACTGACTCAAGTGTTCAGTATCAGAGACTCACAACGACTACAACAAGCAGACTTTTACCATGCCTGGAAATGGCTTCCAATAACCTTCACCTATACTCAGTTGTGTAAAAAGTGGCCTCGATACAATAAATTGATCACTCCAGCTCAGGATATGGCACCGTTATCCTGCACTCACAGCAGCCATTCTTTGAGTACGCACGCAACCCCGGATTTGCTCACATCCGTATCCATTACAAGTTCCACTTCTTATTTTCCACATTTGACGCTCCCGTTGCGCAAGCAAGTTAATTGTTAAGGACACTGCTGTCAACTTCGTTTGCTCCGCTGCTAGTACCGGACTAACTTTTCATATATTATAAAGGCTCCGCTGCGCTATTGCGCTAGCCTATGCGAATGCACCTGTGGCTTCTGAATCTAACAAGCTGTCAACTTTTACGTAACTGAGGACGTTCGTGCTAAACGTTTAAACATCTTCAAGTTTCGAGCACACGGCGCCACAAACAAGCAAATCCAAGAATCACCAGATCTGAGAGTTGGTAGATGATGACCTGCACACGGACAATTGACCCTCTCTTACAGGCGATTACCGGCAGGCCCTGCTATATTTTGGATCTGTTTCGCACGTCTACAAAGAACTGTTATTCTAATCTGCTCGCTGATTTGGCAATTTCGTGAGCACGGATGCGGATCGGGGCGAATCAGGACGAGTCGACAAAGCTGACAGTCTTAGGGCAGCGGCGTACGCCACCCGCTCAACGCCGCTTTAACGCACTCCTAGCCATTAAGCCCAATGACGAGCCTTGTCCGAGTTCATATCCACAATATGCGCACCTGTAGCGATCTCCAGACAAAATCGACACTCGTTGAAGCAGGAATATCGCGTACACAGAATGTCTACGGCGCGCTCTCGCGTACTGCGCCTAGCGCCATCGTTCGTTGAATATCTGTACAAAATATCGACGTGTGTACGCCGCGCGCAGTCTGCTTCTTCCAGCTCCTTTTTAGACCTCGCTGTCAGTGGATGCTACAGGAAGTCGTCTGCTGCGGCGGTGACGGATGCGATTTTTCTCCAATAATTCAGAACAATCGACAACAGTAACGACAATAACAACCAGAACAAAGCTTACACTTCACGCACACATCGGACCTGCTGGTAGTAGTGGTGGCACTTTAACTTGCCAATTGGGGCTCCTGATGTAGCGTGACTATTTGCTATGCGTAGCTCTTTGAATTACGTACGTAATACGCTTGTATCGATTTACGCTGTTGTGCCATGCTCGTTGTACGCGTGCGTCGTTGTTATAATAGCCAGTCTTCTACATAACAGATATCGTGAGCATTTGGCCGGTGCTAACGCTACGCGACAATAATCATGACTTCGCGTGACATTGGTATGCGCAGACTTGTACTTACGAGTAACTCCACTCTTCATTTTTCTTTCTTTACCTTTTTACTCGCTGACGTCGCGGGTTTGGGTGGGCATCATCTTTGGGTGGGCAAGTGCGGGCGACGATAGTTATTGTTACGACTCGAAACCTGGACGCGTGATGGGTAGATTTGCGCCCGACGTGTTTCATTGCATGTACTGTACGTGGCGCTGGTGTGGGGGTAGTAGTGATCGCTAATTCGGCGGCCGTTTATCACGTGTGCATGTGTGTCTGTGTTTATGCATGTATCTAAGTAAAAGTGCTTAGGACGGCGGCTGCGGCGGCACCAGCCGCGTCCTTCTCGTCCTCTCGTAAGAGATTTTATTGTGCATGAAGCTGAAGATTCACTAGAGTTATGACACGGTGCATGTGTAGTCTTATCGTGATGGTTGCCGTCATTATGCAGTATCGGAAATGCTGTTGTGGTGGCGTAAAATATGATACGGTGCCGCTGGAGCAGCGCAGGGTTCTTCAAGGCGTAAATCGGGGTTCTGTATCGTCTTCGCACTGCTTGTAGTTCTTAATGATCCTCTCTTTTATTGCTCATATCCTTGGTGATCCTCCGTCAGCCGTGCGTTTGTCTACTTTACGCGGTGATAATACGCGTGTGTTCGTCACACATTCATGATAGACTACACTAGTCCGCGAAAATGTGGGCTTTCGCTAGTCGACAAATAACCTTCCGTCGGGGGACGTTGTGGTAAGCCCGTTCGCTCGGTACTGCCGGTTCATCTTATTTATGTCGCTGTTGAATCGATATTATCGACGCCCTTAAGCGGGATTAGGTGGGAGTCATTCGTGGGATGACATTGTCGCAACTGCAACTATTCCGCCAAAGCCGGTGACGGCCAAACAGGTGTTGCAGATGCCGATCATCGTTTGCAATAGATGACTTCGCCTGCGGTCGTCGTAATAGTATATATTGCTGCTCGACTGAGATGAGCAATAGGATGCTCGGCGACCTATGGCAGCGTTCGGTTATGAGAACGTCTCGTGGAACAACCAGCCGTTGAACGCTTGTTCGTTGTCGTGATAGGCGCGTCTATTGAATAAAAGGAGAGACAAGGCGTTATCTTGAACAGGCCACACGACGGGCCAACGACAAATCGATGGGCAAATTACCAAGGGGATAAGGATAGAGAATGCCACTGCACAGAACTAGCTCATTGTACAAATGGCTTAATCGCCTATGGGACCTATAATACCATTGGCCAGTATGGCATGTGTTACCTTTTATTTTAATAGGTCTTTGAAACGATCATGTTAACGTCTAAGTGGTATGAAAACGTAATTATTTGCGACATTTTCATGACCAGCGTGCCAGATCTTCTAAGGTACGAACCAATTGGCTTTGAATACATGTATAATTATATTAAATTACTGCTTTAATAATATGACATAAGCTGTTCTTCCTAAGTAGATTGAAATAACCTTATGTATAATGGGCTAAGTGGCTGCGTAGAATTCTGTTTAATTAAGACATAATTTACTCGTCTCTTCGTCAAAATGGTTTGTCTGGCTTACCTCCATATTTGCCCCGTCAACCAGGGCCCCAAACAAAGCCACCTGCATATTTTGCATATATGATACGTGTTTCCATTTTGGAAAATGTCTTTGTACTAACGAACATTGAGTTAATCGAGCCCAGAAAAAAATCCTTAGTCTACTACATTGACTCAATTAGCTTGAGCTTCTTTGCAGACAATGTATTTATACAGACTAGAATAAGAAACGTTCTATTTGGCGCCATTTTTTTTTGCTTTTATGCCATATCGTTCTAATAACAGCAAGATAAACACACCTATCCATACGTAGACAAATAATAGAATTATTATTTATTTTATTTGTACGTCTTGGCCACGTAGTGAAAGCATACAGGTATGTAGATTACGCCTTTGCTGTAAAAGTACAAAAACTGTTCAGCGATTCAATCGCTTTTTCTAGAAACAACTGAAGTATATGATACGCTAAGCGTTCTCTACAGACGGTAGCGATCAGAACAGAATATAGACTTTTGACTCAGTCTTATGTCTGATCACGGCGCTAGGCCATTACAATAAATGGAAGCTATTTTAATGAACAAACGCACCACGTCCCATTTCCGGATCGGGTGCGCAAATCGCCCGAATCGGGAAGGAACAACTGTGGTATAGTTTATGCGCATTTGTACCTGTATGCACATGTAGGAAATTATTGCAAAAGCTGCCGCCGAAAGATAGACAGGCACACACTTTAAAATAGCTGAAAATGCCCCATTTTGCCATTATTTCAATTAGATGTCCCACTCTGCGTACGTATACATTCATTACGGCACGGAAATAAGTGGCCAAATACAGTTATAACCATGACCGCTATCTTAGCGAACGACACAATCGAGATACTGTGCATCATTGATGTCCGTGCATTAGATTTGAACTGAAGGAAAATGAAGGGTTTTAATGGGGTCCATGTCTGCTTTCTAACAGAAGTTTGTTCAATAAAATCGTAACCATACGCGTCATTCATGAAGATTCGCTGAACTTTGTCGGCAAAAACACATGTCCCTATGGTAGACAACATAACGAAATATCGCCGGAAGAATCGACGGACTGACCAGATGCTCGAATGCCCTCGTGGTCGCCTGTCTTACGTAGCATTTTACGTGCTCACCATACATGCACGTCCGTATCAGGGGCTACACTGTGTATAACATTGAGCAAGACCTTGGCAAATGCTTATCGCTAATTATCACTCTGAATGCTACGCAGAGGCACCGAGGAGTGTAAAACAGGTTACTACCGTAGTTTAAACACTGCCATGAAACAATGATCCTGTGCAAGATAGATGTATCTTCTGTCGAAAGGTAACTTGACAACGTGTGCAAGTTCGCAAAGACGGCTAGCTTTTACTAGTTCACGTTTTTTTCGTATCAGTTGCGCATACTAGTATTTCACAGTTATATGGTTTCTTTTTTATCTCGTTAAAGTTTCTAACCACGAGAAGATCTGTTGGTTTTTGGCTGGGATAGAACAATTGAACATGATGCCTGATATATATATATATATATATATATATGTATATACATATCTGAAGTACCTGTATGCTCCGGAAGGTATAAACTACGCGATGTTGAACGTTGAGTATTCTCTTTTCCCTTTACTGCTGATAGGCCACTGCGGACTACAAAAAAAAGGCCATACTTTCAGGTCATGCCGTAAATCTTAATGATGGCGCCTTCTGTCCGCATCCAAATGGCCGAAAATGTATGTGCACGATTCCGCTTGTACAACATCAAATAGGACATACACGCATAGCTTGTTATGTGGACAACGATAATTGTTTCGTCGTCCGCTTAAAACTGCATCTAGCTCTGATCTTTGCTCTGTATCCGACATAAGTAATCGTTTGAAGTTTTTTGACTTCCGGGTGATCTACAGTCGCCTGTAGAGAGTGTCATGTCATTTAATTTTTTAGGGAAACTCTCAAAATTCAGCTTCTGTTCCCAAATAGGGCACTTTCCGAAGCAGAATTATGCAAATGTGACCATATAGAAATAAACCAATTTGTTTATAAACAAGTAGCTAATAAAATAAACTAACGCGTTTGCGTCTATCAGGAGTTTCCTTCGCAACTAAGTTAAGAAGTTTTGAGAAATAGTTTCAGCAATTTGTGCGAATGCTATTACTAATGATTATTGCTAGATCGAAAACAACATCGAAGAGATAAACTTTAGCCTGTAGTGTAGTGCAATGCTGCACATAACGCTGCACGTATGTTTCAATCAAAAGAAGAGACCATAAAGATAGCATTACTGTTTAACTTTTTCAGTGACAGCAGTACCGCCGACGTATTATAGATAGCATCGCGATGTGGGGACGCTCATGACCCCCGACCAGAACTACAATCGAACGAATGTAACCATTTCACCAGTCACTATAATGAATTCGTTTAGAGTAGCAATAGCAAGAGAAACAACAGTACCCAGTGTCGCGAGGACTCTGCGCCAGAGTGACTGATCTCATCCGGCGCCTTGGCAGACTCGCCGTCAGCCAGTTAAAAAATTAAGCATTATTGCGGGCGTTAAAATGTTTCTCGTAAAGGTCAAACGGTGTTAACGATTAGTAAGCAAACATCAGCTCTTGTTTGCGGCCCGCGCTTGAGCCGCCCTTAACGTGCTGTGATGACAGCGCGTCCGAGGCAAATGACTCAAAGGACCCGTAATTATCATCGTCAGTTCCGAACGCAGCCTGAATTAGCTCAGGGTAAGGTCGCACGGACATCATGTTTATCGAACTGCCTGAGATATGCCCAGTAAATCGAGATGTATCCTGCGTACAGCCATGGATATTTTATAGGTCGAAATGGACTAATCTGCGTGACGCTTGAAAAATAACGGCAGGTTCAACGTAGCGAGCCGCTCGCTTTTGTTTCTTCGGAAGCGTTAGACGAATGTTGGACGTCGAAAGTCAATGTACAACAAAACGCAACCATCTGAGGTATGTAGAAAGATCGGCACAGGCTGCCTATTGTTGTTACTACAAATGGTGATTACATAATAGCAGTTTCGTGCTTGTTAGACGTAAAAGAATCGACAGTAGCGGCTATATAAAGGGGACGTGTAATAGTTTCCTAGTGGGTACTCACTGCATTGATCAGAAGTCCGCTTTTCAAATGATTTTGCTTTTAAAACTGCTTTCCCGCAGAGTGGTGTTACCGTATAATTCTTCGAAGTCCCTGATGATTGCCAAGCAAATTAAGCGGGCAAGATGAGTCTGCGATTAAAAATCGATTGAGACACTTCCGATCGTGAGGTTCAGTACGGTGACAAATGGCATTTGATCTAAGCGGAGAAGAGCGCTACCCTAAAAAATTGCCTTACTAGACTAGCTATAACGGATAACTTACATATAGCTATGAGAGATGCCCCTAATTTCAAATGCTACTGCGCCAGAGTGAT